GTCGGGAGAAACTGGAAGGGCGAGGTCGCCGAGGGAGGACTGAGAAAAAGCTCCGGCGCGGAAGGGGGGGGGGGGAAGGCCGAAAGCGACCCCGTCGTGGCGAGGCCGGGGCTTTCCTTCGGGGTCCCTCCCCCCCCGCCTTTGGGCGCCCCGAGGGAGCTGAACGGGAGGTGGCCAAATCGGGCGAAACGGTGAAAGGGCTGAGGCTGGGAAAGGCGATCCACGGCGTACGTGCAAAGCGGCTGAAGAGGGGTTCCCCACATCTCCAACGAGTCATGCCCCCGAAGAGGGGAGGCAGGACGCGGCGAAGGGGTCTTTTCCACGCGCCGAAAGGCACCCTCCAGGCCCTCCCAAAGGCCTCCACCTGGCGCGCAATCCAACTCTACGCGCCCTCGCGAATCATATGGCGGGGATAGGGGCTTGCTTTTCATCACTGAGGAGGAGGCTACCTCATCGCCCGCATCAACCACGACTTTAGAAAGCTCCTGGTAGCTGAGCTTGTAAATGCATATTCGGGTGCTGGTGGCGGTCGCAAAGACCCCAGTATCACCTGGTTGCTTGCTAAGGATCATGAAAAATACGTTCTATGTAACCAGCTTGCTTGTTCAGTTTTTATTGCCTCGCGCGATCGCTTCCCGAAATACGAGGAAAAACTTAAAAAATCTAGCAGAGAAAGGGGAAAATATTCCCTTGACCTTAGCTTATTGAAAATGGTTCGGTTGTAGATGAATTAAACCTCTGTTAATGGTTGTTTTCTGAAGCTATCATCACTACCACTGTGGATATCGCTAAAAAGTGAGAAAGCATACCATAGGAAGAGGGTAATGAAAGTTTAATTGCTTCCGCAAGCAAGCACCTATTGGAATCTGTAACGTCACCCGTTAAGCAGCTTTGGATAATATATAATAGACGTTATCCTTAACCCATACATAAATAAACACAAAATCAAATGAATGGATTCTCAATGAGTTTTAATCGCTCTTTCCCTTCTACCTTGATGAAATCAAAGTAAGCAGGCATGATAATGAGTCTAAGGGAGACCCTACGTAATATCTATTTGAAGAAAACAGTGTAGAAAATCAGCAAAGGTAAAGTGAATTATCAAAAAAAAAACTCAACACAATTAAACTATATACTTCTTGTAAGTTTACTAATCACTTTGAAAGGTTATTTTGCTATTAAATCAGCAAGATCATCCAGCACAGGCTGTAGTCAAGTAACCTTCTTACACTAAACTATATGCATGTGTGTATGTACGAATGAGAAATTATCCGTGAAGCTTGACTTGTCCAATGCAGTTAAAACGATATATAAAATACTTACGAAAAAAAAAACATCCCATATGGCTTGCTCTGATTTTTCTTTTCATCATTTCTCGCACTCATTGATTTGCTCCCACCCGCTCCCAGATACCTCGGAATTGAGCTCAGATTTACTGCCTGGATGCGACATTTTTCCCTTTTTTGATCGATTTGGCAGTAAAGGTTGATCTTCCGTTTCTTTAATTTCCCCCACTGACGGTGATGGCGCAGATTCACTCGGCGTGTGATGGGGTTCGCTCGCCGTGAATGACGGCACCTCGATATGATGACTGATCAAGAGATCCGTCAGCTCCCGCACGCGCATCCGTTCATGGTGCAATTCCTCCTGCAGCTCGCATACTAGCTGCTCGAGCGACGCCACCTTCGTCTGCGCATCGTTCCCGTCGGACGCCGTGGAAGATATCGTCGACCCCCCATGAAGAACACCGCTATCTTCGTCGTCGTTGTCGTCGTTGTTGTTAAAAATGGAGTCGATGTTCGTTGCGAGCGTATTCGCCGCGTTCATCATCAGATGCGCGTAACGAAGAACGGAGGGGTCCTCGGGCTTTTTCTCCGATCCCGCTCCCGCCAACTCGGCGACGTCGGATTGAGCGTTGGTGGCGTCCGCGGAAACCTCCGCGGCGGCGAGCTCGTCCTTTGCCTTCTGTTGAGCTTCCTTTAAAAGCAACAAACGGAGCTGCGCGAGGCGGAAGAAGTAGCGATCGAAAAATTGAGCGTCGCTCAGAAGGCAGGGCGGTGTGGTGGCATCGTCGCCGGACGCTGAGGCTCGGCGTGGAAGAGGGGAGTTCCCGTCCGCCCCCGGAGGCGCTGCCGTCGTGGAGGGGCTTCGACCTCGCTCCCCTTCCTCTTTAGTCGCAACCGCCGCCGAATCACTATTAGTCGCTTGCGAACAAACTCGATACGAATCTCTTGGTGAATCAATCTCCCCTTTCACCCACCGCGCGTACTTCTCCAACACCGTATCACTGGAGTCTAACAACCGCTGACGATAGGTATTCACTAGATTGACGGAATTCGACGAACTATCCATGTCGATCGGATCCCCAGCCGCGGCGGCAGCCTCGGATCGCTCCGAAAGGCGACTGCTCAGAGGGCTGTGTTGCATCCACGCCAGAAAAGCCTCGAGCTCCCCCTCACGGATGGCCTCGCAGTACGTGTGGTCGTCATTCTGAAAGCTTAGCAAGGTCTCGCGTGGGATTGGCGTCGCCTTCGCTTCTGGTGTGAACTCATCCCCGGCGTACACCCCGTCGCCCCCTAATAAATCCCGCTCAACCTTTCCCAAGAAGTCAATGAAGTAATCGGAATCCTTAATGATATTATGAGCGATCTTTTTTAAATCTGTGGGCAGAAAAGACCACATTTGGAGGTAAGATTCTTGTTATCCTATCTGCTAACTAGTGCTTGGATTTTTGGAACTCACTAAGCAAAGCATGTAACTATGGAATCTAAAGGGAAAGGATGAAAAATAAAGGCAGGCAAACAAAATGAAGCAATGCCAAGAAGCCACCGCGATAGGCTACCTTACACCGAGAAGTCGCACAAATGCTTCACAATCGCACAATCAACGCATGTTTTACAAAAAAAAAAAAGAATTACTATATTGTCGTTATCGCTTTTTTACTGATAACGCTATAGCTCACGGCATTGATAGGGGTTGCTTATCTCTCCCCTTCCTTCCCTCATCCACATATCCACAAATAAATCTAAATTTTGCCGCTTTACTAGTCTTCCCCAAGAACTATATGTGTAATACCGTCGTTTAGAGTTCGCCTTGCTAAGCAACATACTTGTACTGATCTCGTCCACTGCGCTCGATAAAGCCCCGATCGAGCAACTTCTCGATCGCCCGCTTGGCAAGCCCGTCGCTGAACTCGAAGTTATACTTCTGCGATGACATATACGCGAGCAGCTCGTCGTGTTTGGCGGTGCCTTTGGGCTTCACGTACTGAATAATCGAAACCTGCAGCAGATGGCCGTGCTGCTGCCAGAGCTGCTCCTCCGAAACGACGGCGGAGGCGTCCTCAGCGCCGAGATCCGCCTCGACCTTCGTGGCGCCGAGCGGAAACGGAAGCCGGGCGTGTGGCGTGGTGAAGCTGAAGGCGGTATTGAGTTGTAAATAATGCTGCGGAGAGAGCACGCTCAGACCACCCCCCTCACCACCACCCACACCCCCGCCAAGGCTGCTGCTGCTCACGAAAGCCGCCGCCGCCGCCGCATTTGTGCGAATTAAAATCGGGAATTCTTCCTGGCATAACCCCATCAACGAACCTGCGACCTCGGGAATATCAAGATCTAGCCCCAGCTTCTGGCAAAGCTCCTTCACGGAGAAGAAACGCGCGGCAGAATCCGCCCTGCTGAGCTCGTCCAGGTGCATCAACACGATGCACTGGATAAGCGTTCCGGAAAGCTCGCAAACGACCCCTCCCGGGGTGAGCTGCGCGCGCAGAACGCCGTGCGAGAGGTGATGTTGCCACGTAAGGTAGCGATTGGGGTACAGGATCTGGTAAAAAAGCTCGACGTTGCCCGTTAATCGCTGCAGTGGAGGGGGGAGTTGCAGGTTCATCGCGTCCTGCCGCTTCGGCCAGAAGCCCGAGGCCATGAAAAAAAGATTCAGCTTCATCCCGGCGAGGTTCGGGAGGCCGTCGAAGTCCACCGGGGAAACCACCAGAGGGGAGTGAACCCCGCCTTGCGGCTCCTGCGGCGAGGGTTGCTCGAGGTTGGCCGATCGAGCCTGCAACATGGCGCCCTTGGAGTGCGCCCACGCCTCGTACTGCTGCGTGTGATCCGCGGAGCTCTCTTTATCCTTCAACATGCCCTCGAATTTATAGATGAAGGAGGAGCCGTAGATGCCCTCGAAAAGCCGAAGAAAGCACCGCTCGGCGGAGAGGTTGACGGCCCGATTCGGGTTCAGCAGGCGACGCGCGAGGTCCTGCCAGTGGAGGTGGCCGAAGATGTCGTTAGAGGAGAAATGCACGCAGGTGAAGGAGACCTGCTCGAGAAACGCCCGCCCGCTCGCGAGCACCGGCAAGGCCTCCCCGCCCGCCTCCTCTCGCGCGAGAAAATCGATGCTTCTCTTTGCCGAAGGAATTTCCACAGGGCTCCCCACCTCAGAGGCCACGCGCCGCTCCTCCAACGGCAGCTCCCCACTTTCCACCCTCGCGAAGACGTGATCGACGAACGCGGCGAGCTGCTCCGCCACCGGGCGCTGATATTTATTCAACACCACCTGCAATCCTTCATCGATCTGAATCCGAAAGAGCTTCTGATCCTGCGGGAAGCACCGCACCACCGCCCGCCGAGCGCGTGCGATGAAATGGAGGAGGTGATGCACAGCCCGACGGCAGGCCTCCGCCCCCCCGGCCCCTTCCACCCGTTGCAACCGCACGATTTCCACAACGAAACCCGTCGTCGTCGCCTCGATGTGCGCGCGAAACATCCCCACCAGCGGATCCTTACTCACCTGCGTGCTGCGCGAGAGAAGCCGCCAGACGAGCGCGAGCGTCGCCAGGCCCTCCTCCTCATCCTTTTGCGCATCACCGGAGAGCAAAGAGGCAAAATCGCGTCGGAGGAGCTCCATCCCAACCTCCCCTAGCAACTCCCGCTCCACCACCTCCTGCAGGAGAACGGCCGTTTGCGGGTGAAGATACGCACTCGCCCGCTGCTTTTCCCGCAGCATCGCGCGTTTGACGTAATCGAAATACGCGCGACTGGGGAGCCCCGCCGAGAGCATCCATGCCGCCGCCGCGCGGTAAAATCCCGCGAGCATCGCGACCACCATCGGCTGCAGCCGCTGCACGTAGCGCTGCGTTATGAAGAGCATCTCGGTAAAGCGGTGAAGACAGGAAAGAGGGGGATGATACGCCTGGGAAGAAGGGTCCTCCTTTCGCGCCCTAGTAGCCTCCTCCTCCTCCGTTTTCGCCCTCTTCCCTTCCTCCGGCTTCGTTTCGGGGGAAAGGATGAGAGGGGGAGCGCTGTCGACCTCGACGTGAGCCCGCATCAAACGCAGGAAGCCCTCCAACGCGGCCTCGAACACCATCGGCACCTCGTTAAACGCGTCCATCAGAAAAGACACCGTCGCGCCGAGAATCCCCTTAAAAACGGTCGCCGTCATCACATAACGGCACGCAAAAGGGCTCCAAACCACCTGAAGCTCCCCCATCGCGAAGGAAAAGCTCTCCCAGATTTCCATCACGGTATGAAAACACCGCACCGGAATCCCACCCCCAGCCAGCAGCGAAGCAACGGAAGGCCCCTCGTGAATGTCGTCAAAAACGTCGACAGCGGGGTCCGTGGAACACGATGAAGGGTTCGACAGCCCACACTCGTGCGCGAATCTGCTCAGCTGCTCTGTAAGACATGCCATGTAGTCTTTGAGAAACTCCTCGAGCATCTCTTGCAGGCAAGCGGACCTCTTTTCGTCCACAAGCATCCTTACCGCGCGGTAGACGTCCTCGGGCGAATAATCTGCGTAGCGTCTTCGCTGGGTAGCATCGCCATAGATCTTAGCGCGGGAGATCACCTTACCCAACATATCTCGCACAAGAGCTAACTTATCCATGATTAAGCGTTCATGTTGCAGGGCAAGATCTCTATCCGAATCACCCCCCATGGGAGTTTGAGAAATCGAATCTTCCATTAAGCTCATTTCCTCTCTGCCATCAAGCTTCTAACGATAGGTTATCCCCCTCACCCCTTTGTGTGGGTGGATTTTCTACTTCTTCAGATGTATAGAGATATGTCTATTTCGCGTTTTTTTCAAGCCTGCACTCGTGTGAATACACAACAAATGGGGTGTGGAAGCACAAAAAGCAAACGAGATATCACTATTAAAATGATAAAAAATTAATTGCAGGAAAAAAAAGAAACGCTTAAAATAGTAATGAACAATGTCATGATAATCACCTAATTAAAGGAAAGAATCATTCCCAAAAGGAGGGATAACCCGCACATAATGGCGTACGTGATTTGGAAGCAATACCTTTTGACTGGGAAAGATACAGGGGCGTCGTTGTATGTTACCTTTTGCTGCGCCATTCTTACTTTCTAGATAGAAGCAGAAATTACGGGCAGATAAGTTTGAGGGGAAAAAGCAAAAGGAAAAAAATGGGCTGAAACAGATTTGGAAAACTGTCAAACCCTTTTTAGAGAGCAAATATTTTAGGCCCTATAAGCATATCCCCATCTAGACATATTCGTTACATACACACACATATATTCGTATATATGCATATATATATATATATATGTATATATTAGGTACTCCCTCTAATTTATATACTCGTGCAAAATGGCTTCATAATTCCTCGCCTCCTCCGTCATTTCTTTCGTTTTGGCGATCCGTACCAGCTCTGGCAGGTCATCACTGGTAGAGAACACCGTGGACAAGAAAATCAACACATGAAAGTCGGCGATCTTCTCCGCGAAGGTCTCGTTTCGTCGCTTCGGGTCGTTCATGTAGTTCCGCAGGTTCTCAAACGTCGGCGGCGCCATCCCCGGGCGGGAGATCCGCAGGAACCCCCCCCGCACGACGTCCGACGTGAACTGCTGGACGGCGATGTAGCTGGTAAACCATCGGGTGTCGATGCGGGTGCAGGGCTCCTTCGTGACACACAGGCGGTGTCCCTTCCCATCCGTGTCCTCCTGCGCGACCTCCAAGGCGACCTTTGACACAATCATCCACTCCTCCACCTTGTCCGCTTCCTTGTCCGTGTCCTTCTTCTCCGTGTCCTTCTTCTCCGTGTCCTTCTTGTCCGTGTCCTTCTTGTCCGTGTTCTTCCTGTCCAGGTCCTTCTCGTCGGGCTCGTAGAGGAGGCCGACACGAAAGAGGTGCACGCACTGCGGGGAGGTCTGCCAGGCCTGGCACTCCACCACCCCATCGGAGAGGTTCGGCGCGATCGTGAGGAGGACGCACTCGTCGCCATGAAGGGACTGCTCCCGCGCGCACAGCAGCAGCTCACGGGCGCTCATCACGATCTCGTCGGGATCCCGCGGGGGGTGGGTGCAGAGTGCGCCCACCCGTCGAAGCCCGAGGCCGCGCGCGATCGCATCCACCGTCTCGATCCGCGGATCGTCGATCACCTCGAAGCGGTAGCGGTTGCCATGCTGCTCCGGCTCGTAGACGGCGTGGACCTCCACCACCGCGCTCGCGCTGTCGTAGCGGCCGTACAGAATCGCGTAGCGCTGCAGGTTCCACCCCACCTGCGCCACGAAGCTCTGGAAAATATTCAACGACTGCGCATCCGCCTTCACGAGCTGCGTGCGGCTCGGAACCCACTTCACACGCGTGCGATCGAACGCCCCCATCAGCCGCGAGGAGTCGACGAACTTGCTGTTGAAGAGATCCCCTCCTACCAATGTTTTGCGCTGCAAATCGTGATATTGCCCGGTGCGAGGGCAGATCTCGCTTAAATAGCTCGCCTGCGCACAGTTAGGGCAAACCGCGACCTTTGGCTTTTCGTCTTTGCTGAGCTGTTGAAAGCGTCGCCGACGCGCTTCGGCAAGCTCTCGGATTTTATCAGACATCGTATCACTTGGTTTTGATCCCTTTTTTTACGCTAATGTTATTAATCTTATTCACTCACGCACACAGCGTGTGTAGAATACGTTGAAGTATAGAATAATGAACGCGCTTGTATAGATATAAAAATATATAGAGATGAATAGTTAGATAACTTTATAAATCCATAGAATAAATAACCCCACTCTAATGCTAAAAATGGGAGAAAATCGCTTCAATTTCCAAGGGAGAAAAAAACGCAAATGAGAATAAAGGTATTGGAAAGGTGATCAAAAAAAAAAATGCATGACTCAGACGTTTAGAAACGTAAAGGGAATTTTTTTGAAAATAAGGGCAAGCATAGAGAGTGCAAAGTGATTATGCTGTAGTTGAGGTTGTTCTTTTTCGAAGAAGATCGTGGTCTCATGGATGTTCATTCGAAGACAAAACACGAGTTCACGCATATGACTCCCTCGGTAATTACAAAGGCGAAGAGGAGGTAATATTATACCAGTAAGGGAGTACAATAACCCCCATTTTTATCGTAGAGCTCCCTCACGATTCTAACTCTCTTCCCCCGTCCTCTCTCTCTCTCTCGCTCTGCCTATTCTTCTTAAAACTCCAGATATCGCTCATCGGCATTAAATGGTCGCGTTCGACCTAACAACGACAGCACCACGCGATACCCTTCCTTCTGAATCTCGGCGTGTGGGTGAACCACCTCCTCCCGAACGCGCCTTTCCGACTCCGAAAGCGACGCCCCAGCCGCGCGATTCGCCGTCGACGACGACCCCGTCAGAGGACGCCGCGGCGGCCGCCCCGTTAGCCCGGCCGCCTCCCCGATCATTGGCGCGCCCCC